ATATCTCAACGGACTAAGTAAAGCAGAGTGAGGCATGTCCAAATTATCTATGTTAATGTGAGGATAAAATCTACCGAGGAATCCACCAACGCTCTACATGACTAATCAACTGCAACATTATGATCTTGGTTCACAGGTGTTGTATATCTAGACAAATTTAATGATGGTTAGATGGCGCCCTCATTCACTTACACTTTGTTATCTAGCACTAACTCCCCAACTACTGGAATTTAGTTTGGAGTTATTAACTGCCACCTGTTGGTGCAGTGAAACCACGCGGAGTGCAGGAAAATAGCATAACAAACGATAAACCCTCCCTTTGATACTTAAGGTACTAAGTATCTTTTAACTTTATTCGAATACCACACCAGACCACCCAATGGGACTTGTAAAACAGTGCTACTTGTATTATGCCATCGTTCATCTGCCTCCAACTACCAAGTGTCAGAATTTGCTAATATCCCAGTCATTCCAATGATAGTATTAGTGATAAGATTATCCTTATGTACACATTGTCTAACCGGAATCGAGATGACTCAAGCTGAAGATCTGATGGTTGTAGACATGAAGCCGTTCAAGGATAGGTCGATATAGTTTCGATGGCAATTTTTCCAGCAGCATTTCCACAAAATGTGCCCATAGGGTGAGGGTACCTTACATATTGAGGGCCAGTTTGTTCGGAACTACTTTACTCCGAGTTCCAAACAATAATGGAAATTATTCTTGCTGAACGTCCGTAGACCATCTAGAAAATGATGCAGTGTGAATTCCCCAAACTTCGAGGGAGTAACACAGGGCGCATTTAACCTAGTATTAGAGTGCTGCACCGACATCATCGTCCCTTACTTAAGTTTTCCCGTTATTTGATCAGCTAAATCCACACATCCTACCTCAGTCTTTAGAGCTCTGGGATCTAAACCCCGTTGTCGGATAAATAGGAAAAGTCGCTGCTCAGAGGAGTTTCAGTTGCAATTACGGCGCATTATAATTAATAATAATAATAATAATAATAATAATAGATCCAAATATTGTTTAATATGGCATTTCACACATTGCAGTTCTGAAGCCCCAATTAGATATAGTGGTTATAAGTGATCTTGTTAATGTGATTTCTTCTAACGTTTTAGACATGACTAATAATGTGATGACATTGCATGTGATCTGTGGGCAAGAATATCATGAGTGACAGTCGAGTCTATTGCATTCCTTACAAAAAACCAACAAGCAGTCCGCTTGGGCTAAACGCGAATAAAGGCAACTTTTTTGTCCGCTCAATCTAGTAATAGCTCATAAATGTAGTGGGATGACGTGATGCGGAATCTTCAATGAGCGATACGTTGGGAAGCGGTATGGGATGACCTCAGTTCTGTGGACAATCTGAGAAGTTGCAAAAATACGGGAAGCAGGTTGCTAATTTCTCGCAAGTAGCTTTTATGTGGATAACATTTAATCTATGACCCAAGTATTCACGTGACACCGCATGTATAATAGTTCACTTACACCTGGCTGTTACGGAATGGAAACGGTATCTCTGAACCCGAAACTCAGTTGGTAAAATATCTAACAATATGAAGGGCTTGTACACATAATCATGCATTTGTGTACAATGTACGCTTGTGTATTTTCTAAGTGATCTTGAATTAGCTCCAGGATCTTAGGAGCCATGGTCACGGTTCAAATCACCCGCCGTAACAGTTCCAGCAGCAGCTTTAGGAACGACGATCTAAACTTGGCTACCCAGTATAGAGGGCTGGGACCTCATCAAATTAATTTTCACCGAATGTCCTACCGTTAGATTAGCTGCAACTTACATCCATTTTAGGACCTTACCCATAGTAAAAAAAACTACTGGAAGGTGCATTAACTTGCGCACGGCACAGAATGCAACCCATATTCACGAAAAACGGAAGATATAACGCAAAGAAAAGCTGTGATCCCAAGCATGTTATAATCCGCGGAGAAATGGGCAATTACATCTGTGCTTACGTAAATTTGATCATTCCGTCGACAATTAAATTAATTTTGCATTTAGATGCTCACAATGACCATCCTAGAGATAGACTGAGCCTCCAATAAGCCATCATTCGACTTACTCAACAAAGATCGTTTGGCTTAGTTGTATACGACTTAGGACAAAATTAATAACTGATTAATAAAGCAAGCCGGAATACATGTGACATGTAAGTTTGTATTTTCAGGTCGAACGTATACCTGCTTGTGCAACACTGACTAAGGACTAAATTAAATCGCAAAATAACCTTGCTACCGATACGCTGTATTCGATTGTTCAAAGCTCATATTTTGCGAACGCATTCTTGTGCATTCCGCTGATTTCCTAAAACTCATGAAAATCTTCCTGTCATTTCGATCTTTTTGAAACGGAAGCAAATCACTGTTCCGTGCGGAAAAAATATGACCGAAAACTGTTCGTGTGGCGAAGCATCTCCGTTAAGCGCTGTTGCAAACAGGCAACATTTTACTTGACAGTGATGGAAAAGCCAGTAATCAAACATAGTATATACGGAAAACAAATTGGGCTCAATCGGTTGCAATACAGTTTATTCCAACAATAACCCAGCGCGGGTACGGCGCACTTTGTGATCCCACGTCAAGAAGGTGACGGGACAACCAAGTTTGTAGTGTCTCAACGCAATTTATGTTTCAGCTGCCGGACAAGTTTTAAAAGGCTGAAAAAGATTTCCGTTTTAGCGATTGGTGAGAAAAAAGTGAGTTGGAAGCACGGAGATTCATTCGTCACACAACTTTCAAAATCCCCAGAGAACACAGGATGTCTTGCGCTGTTAAACACGGAAATCAAAACTATGTTGCATGCGTTCCACATAAATGTTGTGCTTAGGGGAGAATTATATATATATATATATATATATATATATATATATATATATATATATATATATATATATATATATATATATATATATCGTACTAATAGTCCGAAGTAACAACTAGAGCCGATATTAAATCAATTCAGCCTGCTGGAAGGTATTATCGCAGAAGCGGTCATAGGATACTTGAAGGTAACAACTTCATAGTGTCATAGCAACACGGATTCCGCCGTAATCACCCTTGCACTACAAACTTGCTCTTAGCCAGAGCAAACTGACCACATTCAGTCGATACTAGATAGGCATGGACGCCGCATACCTAAACTTTTCAAACGCGTCCCATCGCTTTGAATACCGAGTTTCCTTCACAAGCTTCGCCGCTGCGGAATCAGTGACCATGCGCTTGATTAATTAAGCAACGTGTGAGTACACAATTCCATTTTCGACCTAACTAAAGTCCATTGTGGTGTACTCAAAGGATCGTTTCTGGAACAAAATTCATTTCCAGTCTTAATTAAGGATATTGCAAATTGCAAATGTCAAGAGCTTGCGTGACTTCAAAACATTGAACGATCACACGGTTGTGCTGAGGGATATCGACAGGGGTCATCTGAAAACCGGCGCTTGTTCAATGTGGCAAAATGCAAAGTTATGAGCATAAGTGATCAGACTACTCAGGAATACCAACGTGTGGACCGGCAATTGCAATGTGCTTCCCAAGAAAGCTATCTCAATGTAAGTGTGCAGGATTGCATTGTTAGGTCCAAAAGGCATCGAAAATAGCTAGTCAGCACCTTGGACTTTTAAGGAGAGTTTTGCAGAAATTTCGATCTATCATTTGTTATGCATATACTGGATACTTACATGATGTCCATGTGAAGTAGGCGATCAACGCCTGGTGGCACTGGTGCAAACGCAATGCTGATGCACTTGAAGCTCTATAACGTAGAGCGATCAAATTCGTTAGGGGCTTGTTACACGTTCCTTAACAACACAGACTGAAAGTCCAGGGATGGTAAAGTTATAATTATCGAATTCAGCGAGAAGGCATTATTATGTTTTATCTACTACGGACAACCCAACTCACGCTGTCACGACCTATTGCAACTACGCCAACATAGCAACCTGAGAGATCACCAGCTCGAAGTGGCAACGCACTACAGCCGATTTGATTGCAGAAAAAATATTTTCATTCTTCAGATAACTTGGACCTAGAACTCAACACCAACTCACATCACTTTGTCCCGACAGTAACGCATTTCAGAACGCTTTGACAATACTTTTTCCTATTTGCATTACTTGATATAATTTGTTTCAATCAGATGACGAAATAACGCGAAGCACACAGCCTGCTCACCAGCTCTATCCGCAACATAACGGTGAGGAAACCCGCATCAGTGTTCATGTAATTTACCTGGTGAGTCACTTGGTTGTTGAATTTGCCACTGTGTTCCTGTCACTTTTTAACACTTTGGTTTTTAATCCTCATTGCATTCATTCTACGGGATTAGTTGAGCAATATTTTTACGCATCACAAATCCTTGTCCATTGAGTTTGCACCTACACCATTTGCTTAATGTAGCCTTCACATTGAAGAATGAGTGTTCACGGCATGAGCGTCACCTTGAGGACACAGTTTTCTTGAAGCCGTTGCCTTAGGATGATCTACCATGTGTTAACATGAACCATAACGCTCTAACACGGTCATGTAAACATCCTTATCAAGGAACCTAATGGGGACGATCATTCCAAAATGTTCTCTACGTTAGTCCAGCAGTAATGGTGCACAGGTTGCTTCACCTGTACTGATTTGCATTCACTAGTGTCCAAACGCTACCACTCGTTTACTGAATGGCTAGGTCGCGGGTGTTCAGGGAATCATTCCAGGCTTTGAACACTAAGGAGTGTATCTTTCAACACTGAAAGTGTACTGGTATGTGGGGTGAGGGCGGAGGCGGAGACGGTGCAATACGTGACTCCTAGGTTCATTGTTCACTATCAGATGTCTTTCGCCATTGTCTCAAAAAATGCGGAGCCGATAACTGGGTCGGCAAAGGATGGACCAGCAATGTAGAAAAGCAGACAAAATGTAGTCGCACTCTGGATGATATGCTTGTGTATATCAGGCGTTATCGGCTTGGTATGGGAAATGCAGCGAATATGGTTTATTAGTTAACAATTCATGCAAATGACTTATGTAAAGCCTGCTGGACTACTAATAACACACCTTCATTTACCCAAACTACTCCACTGGCTTTTTAACAAACAGCAGCGAAACTATTTGTGGCCGAAAAAATTGGGGATGGAAGGAAGAATGTGCATTTCCATACAAGGTCGACGTAAAGAAAACCAAGTAGCCTATAAAATGTTAGTAACGGAGTTGGGAGGCAGAGCCAAACGATGCATGGAATAGGCTCAAATGGAAAAGCATGACTTCAGTAGACGCAATATAATCCTCGTAATCATTTCTGGATCCAAGAAAATTGCTAACTTCACTGTTGCGTATGCTGACCGGAGGAACGAGTGTGTGAACTTGTCGTTACAGAGCTCCGAACTTGGCCCCGCGGTCCCGTCCGCTGCACGGACTGCTCTCTCAGTATACTTTCAAGCTGAACAACTCGTGTTTCTGCTTCATCTCGGGCCCGTTGTACCACTTTCAGTTTTCCGTCCAGCTCGCTGACTACCTTCTGAACGGATCCTGTTTAGGTTGGGGGATAGAGAAGCAATTACGTAATATTTTGCGGCGACGCCAATTGATCTGCCTTAGTACTTAAGTATGTGCCGCAAAGACAGGCAAAGCTTGAAATCTAGGGGAATAAAATACGGTGGCCAGTAACCGAAACAACAAGACTTTGTGTAGCCGCCAACAAATTTATCCCGAATTCCTATGAGTTGAGTAAAACAAGTTGTACTAAGAGAAAGAATAAAGGTGATTACCGTAGAAGGTGATAATGATGACTCCTTTCAGACAAAGCTTCCGTTAAAACCACCCTCAATACAATGACACGGGGGGCGAGAGGGTATCGCTCTGTGTGATCTCATCATTTACAGAGTGAAGTATGATAGGAGCGTAGCTCCTTGAGAATATCCAATGGACAATAGTTACGGCACAACTGCCACGTGTTGGATGAAGCAACGCGTAGAGTAAATGGTTGTCGAATGACAGCTGTGACTACGGGAATAGTAAGTATTTTCGTGATTTCCTATAACACCGAGTCAGGAGCACTGCGTTGTAGTCGACAATACTACTCGTCTTATATGGGTGTACACAAAATACACAACCAACAGTTTTCAATCTGGCGCCCCTCCACTTACCAACTGCCTCATCTTGCACGTAATAATTCAACCCTACCACCTGTCGTCCAACTTGCCTGTATGAATCTAATCTTCACGTCGGTGTAATTGCTTCCATCGACAAGAGATGGATTGTAAACATTGCACATAAGAATTAGAGTCGGTTGTGTTAATAGCTCATTACTTGGCTATGACTCAACGTTAACAATTGTTTACCACTGTGAATGCAGCATGTCTTATTTTACAAAGGCGCAGCCTATTAATCCTAAATCTTGTACCCATTGTAAGCCCACATTTTCGTTGTTGTTAAGCATATATGGAATACATACATTTAGCTCCCGATTCCATTATATGTTGAGTATATAACCGTGTGATCTCCTTGGTAAATGTTTTATTTAAGACAATAGCCTTAATATATATACTAAGTGGGCTTTGTTGTATTTATCGGGTAATACAAGGTAAGATCGCCTATTTCTGCAATGTTTAAATATTCGCCAGAACTTCAATGAAAACATTTAGCCAGAAGAGCTCCCTCGTTTTCACAAATATCAAAAATCTTATCGGATTAATTATCCCGAATTTGTACAAGCATCTACAGGGAATTGTTACTACGCATATACCCACCTCCGCGGTATCAAGCAAACAAAAAAGGATGTTGCAACCGTAAGTGCTCGGTTTTTGCCACCCCATTACGATTGATATACCTTCGAGTACCGCGGAAGAAATATTGAGCATACGTGAAGTACCGATTGATGCTTCACCAGATGCCACTTTCAATGGTTCAAGCCATGGAACAATGGCGCGTTTTATTTACTGTGCCCATGAATGGAAGGACAAGTGTAGTGATGCTGACGAGTAGGTGGAGCATTACTGTAAGTAGAGGCCCACACAGCTTTCCTGTGGCATTCACTTAGCGAATTCCAAGAAATTCCGTTTCTTACTTACTGGTAACGCTGCATTAAGAGTAGGAGATTTGTTTAGTCCGTCGACAATTCAATAGTTCAATAATGTTCAATAGTGTATGATGGGATAAAAAGCATTGGCTTTACAAGACCCATAGGATGATAAACGCAAAATAAATAAAAATCATTAGATTCCGACATGGAACTGAAATGCCAATAGTCTAAACCTAGTACATCACATCACAATGTGTTGTTTGTCACTCAGATGAATGTCTAACAATTGTTTGAAGGCTGTAATGTTCGGAGCGTTTACCACATGCGTTGGCAAGTCATTCCATTGCGAACAGATTCTAAGAGAGTAAAAATATTTTCTACAGTCTAATCGGGAGTGTTGGATTATCAGCTTGAGGTTATGACCTCTCGATCGCTTATATGAGGCTAGGGTGAGCAGCGATTTGCACGGGTGATCGCTTTCCGTTAATATCCGGTATGCGAGAATGAGATCTCCGCGTAGTCATCGGTATTCGGTGGAAAACATTCCGATTAAACTGAGACGCACTTCATAATTGAGACCAGATAATCCGCGTGTTGCCTTCGTAGCTCTTAGTTGGGGCTGCTCTAAGAGATAAATGTCCCGTTTTAACCATGGGCACCAAGCCTGAACGGCATATTCGACGTGAGGACGGATATAGGAGTTGACAAGCATGGGTATCAACCGTCGTTCAAAAACACCAAAAGCTCACCTCAAAAGTCTCAGATTCATGTTCGCTACGTTTGCTGCTTTCGAACATTGGAGCGAATTCCCCAGACAGCAGGCGATCTCATAATGGTGTACCTAATCCTGAGAGACCCCAACCACCCATGCCATTCCCTTTTATTACTCAGTCAAAACACCTCGCTAAGAGGTCACCAGTTTAAGTTAGTCACGCAGTACAGCCGCCTGGAATGTCGGCGGAACTATTGCTCCCTTCGAGTGGCACAGCCTTGGAACGCCCTCCCGGAACATGTAGTTAATGCACCCACCCTATCCCTTTTCAAAAAACGCCTTGACGATACCCTATCACATTTCCACTACGTACTATAGCTCATGACCACCAGATGCTGGCACTAATGCACAACAGACAGGGGATAGTGCCATAACCCTACTCGAGAATGAGTCATCCCAAACTCTGCACAAATATTGATAAACGCAACTACTACAGAAACTGGATTCCTCTATCCTGTCGACCCAAGATAGTTGCACACGAGTAAGCGTTGTCCTTGCTACCTTTTTTTATTTTTCTCGCCTATGATGTGAACAATAACCACTCCCCTATTGCTTTGTGTGCGTACATTCTCATTTCAAACTCTCTTTATAAGACAGTGCAGTTACATCTGTAAGCGCTCGAACTAAAGACGCCATTATCCCTTCTCTATCTTTTTTATCACGCTATACACCCTACGGGACATGTCAAGCACCTGCTTTTTTACCCGTTATAAATCATTGTTCATTGTACAGCAGGGGAAACCAAACTGCGGATCGCTGGCAGGGTCCGGCCCGCAACGTCAGTTTGCTAGTTTGGTTGTACAAAAAATGGGACGTTGTGATACAACATATATTTCGCATTGCTTGTCCTATTGCACATGACCATATATTGGTTGAAAATTAGCGTGAGTTAGCAAATGGTTGTTACATGTGACAAAGTGCTGTAGAACTATCAGTGACCCACATCGTTGGAACATGGGTGCGACGGATCACACATTTGACCCATTTACCCGAGCATCCCAATGTGTTTCTCTCGATCTCACACCTTTTACAGCAGTTTTCCGTTAAATCACACGTAATATATATAAAACGCCGCTTTTCAAGACGTTATTTTTCAGCGTAGGCAATTTTAAAACCATACTAGTCGGCCATTTGGAACGATGTGACAAACGATAGTATGGAAAAACGCCAAAAGCGCTAAATTTTAAGATTATCACGTTTTGAAACTGCAAACAAATAAATAAATAATAAATAAATGAGTATGTTTCTCGACGAGCGGGATACGTTCCTTTATATGGAACTATCATTTGGAGAGCGGGTTTCGTTATTATTTGATACATAAACTCCATTCAATGCAAAAAGGTTATGCAGTGTTTTGTTGCATAGGTAATAAGCACCATTAGTTGATAGTTAAAATTGCCATTGTTGTTCGGGCCTGATTCCCTGAACGCGCTCGCGGATTGTTGTAGGTCGAAAAGTATGAGCACACTGGGCATAGAAAGGAAAGTTTTTAAATTAGTATTAAAAATGGTCGGGCTGTCGCAGTTCCTCAATTGCAACGGGAGTTCATTCCACAGATGGGCGCACCTTACCGAGAAGAAATTTATGCGGTTATTTTGCCTGGTACTCCGTAAGGATGGTAGACATCTCCCATTAGTAGGGGATAGGTTCAGCCATTATGTAATGCGACCGTCAAACTGGTTGAGCAAACTCGTGAGTGTATTATGTCCTAGAGAAGTGAGGTAGATTTTCAGCCGTCGAAGCCAGGGTGGATCGAGTCGGAGGTTATAAGTTCGCTCATCATAGGTAAGCGATGATGAGCGCCCCATGAGCATTTTGGTAAAAGAACGTTTTCCAAAACAATTCAGATCCCATTTATTTCAGCGCTCACTAAAGTTACTATGAAAAGATAAGCGGACCCTGATTGTCGCGTTCTGTCTTTTAGCTCAGCGTTTTAAACCTGGCTTACAGTTGGCGTGCATGATGATTATGCGGCCCATGACAACTGTTTTCCTAGTTTTCCGATCTACGCTATTAATTTTTCTAGTTATCCGAATGCCGTGAAAAATAGTTCGGTGAACCATGATCGAGAGAATAAATTAACTTGATCATGCATGTGTTGAATGTATCCGATACCAATAGCGGTCCAACATTAGGGAAATGTTTTAAAAGGGTACTTGCGAACCTTCCGGCGAAGATTTAACCGTTTGCTGTACGTTTTAGCCTATGAAACAATCCGTGTACCGTCCCATGTGCGAAAAACGATCGTCGAGTACATATAATGTGGATGGAATGCAAAATGAGAATAGAATCTCTTGGCCCACAACACAATGACACATGAAGCAAAGGTAAATGGAAGACCTAAAGACTCATAGAAGTAAAGAGAGTAAAATCTCGGGCAGAGAAGTCATACTAAATTATCCTTAACGCGTGCACTTCAGCAACATTGGGACCGAATCGAAGAAAGTAGAACTGAGGCTTGTAATTAAAAACGTGCTACTACATAAAACATAGTAGTATAAGGTATTCAAATAATCGCTGGAGGTGCTCTTTGTCGCTCGCGAGAAATTGCGTTTCCGCAAAAATTAAGCGGCGCAGATTGCGTCAATGTAGATTTGTACTAAATATCGTGCACAGCAGGTTCTAAGTTCATATGGTGCAACTGCAACAAGAAGGAAGCAGACGGATTTGCATAGTAGGAGAAAATAATTCAGGCTCGATTTTATTGCTAGGTTCTCAGAAAAGAAAAGAAGAAAA